AAAAATACAAAATTTAGCTGGGTGTGGTGGCATGTGCCTGTAATTCCAGCCATGAGAGGCTGAGGCAGGAGAACCGCTTGAATCAGGGAGTTGAAGGTTGCAGTAAGCCGAGATTGCACCACTGCACTCCAGCCTGGTGACAGAGAGACTCCATCTCAAAAAAAAACAAAATTAGTCTCAGTCACTGAGCCGCTGCCGAGGACTCAGCAGCCTCCCCCTTGAGCCCCCTTGCTTCCTGACGTTCCATCTCCCCTGCCTGTCTTCTCCCGCCGTGGCCTTCCGCAGGCCGAGGGAAAGGAATCGTTATCGTTATGTCCACTATGCAGAACATCCACTCTTTCGCCCCCTTTGCTGATGCAGGTAAGGGTGATGACCTGCTTCCTGCTGGCACTGAGGATTATATCCATATAAGAAGTCAACAGAGAAACAGCAGGAAGACCCTTACTACTGTCCAAGGGATCGCTGATGATTACGATAAAAAGAAACTAGTGAAGGCATTTAAGAAGAAGTCTGCCTGCAATGGTACTATAATTGAGCATCCAGAATATGGAGAATTCATTCAGCTACAGGGTGACCAACTCAAGAACATATGCCAGGTCCCCCTAGAGATTGCATTGCCTAAGGACAATCAGCTGAAGGTTCATGGGTTTTAAGTGCTCGTGGCTCACGGAAGCTTAAGTGAGGATTTCCTTGCAGTGAGTAGAATTTCCCTTCTGTCCCTTGTCACAAGTTTAAAAACTTCATAGCTTATATAATGAAACCATTTGGGGTCTGCTTTTAACTTGCACTAGTGTAACTCTTTCATGCAATAAACTGAAAAGAGCCATAAAAAAAAAATTAGCCAAGCATGGTGGCCTGTACCTGTAGTCTCAGCTACTCAGGAGGCTGAGGAGGAGAATCCTTTAAGCCTCAGAGGTGGAGGTTGCAGTGAGCCAAGATTGTGCCACTACACTCCAAAAAAATTTTTTTTTTACATACAGGGTCTCGTTCTGTCATCCGGGCTGGAGTGCAGTGATGCGATCATGGCTCACTATATCCTCTACCACCCCGGCTTAAGTGATTCTCCTGCCTCAGCCTACTGGCACATGCCACCAAACTCCAATAATTTAAAAAAAAAATGTAGGGCTGGGCGGGGTGGCTCACGCCTGTAATCCCAGCACTTTGGGAGGCCAAGGTGGGTGGATCATGAGGTCAAGAGATCAAGACCATCCTGGTCAACATGGTGAAACCCCGTCTCTACTAAAAATACAAAACATTAGCTGGGCATGGTGGCGTGTGCCTG